GGGGCGGCCGGCTTGGTTCGGTTCGGGGCGGGTTGCCCGGGGGCTGGTTTTCCCTTGGGGGGTTGGGCGTTTTGCGGAGTTGGGTTGCCCGGCCGGGGCGGGGCCAGGCGTCAAGTGGCGGCCTTCGGTGGGGGGGGGGTTCCCGCCCCCCCGTTGAGGGGTTTGCGGGGGGGAGGGTTTAAGGGTTGGGGGGTTCGGGGGGGGCTTGAGGGGGGGAGGCCGGGGGCGGGGCGGGGCCCGGGGCGGCCGGTTCGGGGGGGGGTTGCAGTGGGGCCGGGGAGCCTCTGACTCCCGAGTGCCCCCCGCACGTGGCTGTGGCTGGCTCTGCCATCCAGCTGCCTGGCTCAGGTGGGACGCCAATGTCACCCAGAGGACCATGTGTCACGTCTCGCTTGTAGTTGACACAGACAGGCTCTCCTTGAGACAGAGAAGCGGGAACGTTCGTCCTGCTCTGCCCAGTGTGACGCAGAGCTGAGCCCACAGGAAACCAGAGCGAGGAGTCCGGCTCATGTTCGGGTGGAAGGAACCGTCACACAACGATGCCAGGAGCGGGGCGGCTCTTACCTCGACCACCGTGTTCAGGCCAGTATCGGACCCGAGACTCACGTCCGTGCCCGGGACGTTGTTGCTGATGGTAGCGGGCACGACACACACGGGCACACAGAACTCCTCGTGCTGGCCTCGCGCCTCAGCGATGTTGGACGCGGCTTGGTAAGCCTGGAGCAGCGGGGCCAAGCGGGTAGCGGTCAGTGTGGGTGCCCAGCCGGTCCCTTGCCCAGCACTGGGCGTGCACCGGGCCCCGGGAGGTGACGGGGAGGGCTAGAGTCCCCAGGGGAAGCGTTTTCATGCGGGCCAAGGGGGCCAAAGGGTGCTCCGGGTCTGCACCTGGCGGGTGCAGGGGAAGCCGCAGCCTGGGAACCACACGGTCAAAGCGGGTGCAGCGCGCAGCAAAGCAGGCAGCAGGCAGCGGGGCCTGGTGGCCGGCGTGTTAGTCACTGGGACGGAACAGCTCGTCCTTGGCATCCCGGGGGGTGAGGAAGGTCGATTAGGTTGGAAAGTGTAAGTTCAATGCCATTCCTGGGAACTTCTGCAGGTAAGTGAGGGACAGAAAACATGGCTGTGACAACATCAAATGACTGACATCACCATGCAGAGGCCACCTGCACGCAGGCACAGGGACAGGCATGCCATCGGATTCTCACAGAAAGTGGGACAGCATAGCAAGACCCAAAGGGAAATTGTTGGGCTCTGATGCCACAACGGCGAGCTGTTCCTGTGTGTGGACAGAGGCCTTTTGCCGTCTGTCCTGGGTGTTAACTGAGTTAGTAGAAGGACACAGGTCCCCGCCCCAGCGCCCCTAAATCCAAGCAGCTCCACACTCAGCTGTGTTCGTAATCCGCTTGGAGGCAAAGCCAACCCGTTCTCAGGTTTTTACTCGCCTCTCTTACGGTGAGGCCCTGCCCGCTTTGCTGCAGAAATGTTCGCGTTCGGTGCAGGGTGTTCCCACGCCTCCCCTGGGGGTGAGACCACGCATGGTGGCTCCCGAGCCCTCCCCGTGTGGCCCGGGACTGGACAGTGGGGCGTGGACCTGCACGGGTTAGTTCTCCGGCCGTCAGCAGAGGGAGGACAGGGACGACACGTGGGCAAGTCCCCAGGCCCCGGCCTCCACGTCCACCCGAGCCTGGCGTGTGACCCACCCCCCTCCGCCTCGCGACTTTTGTTGTGGCAGTTATCGCAGGACATCGTTCGAAACGACGGACTCCTGCAGGCCTGAGCCGGGATCTGGGCCTGCGCAAACTGCCGCTCGGTGGGCTCCTCAGGGTGGCTCTTTCACTCCCCTCACTGTGGGTTGGGTGGGGACCCCGCCCAGGACAGCGTGAGCCTCCAAAGATGAAACGCCCGGCCCCGCGGGGCGCAGCAGTGGCTCCACCTGCTTCCGGCTCCAAGGACAGGAGTTTAAACTCCCCTGAGCCACCCTGGGCACCGCGCCGTCCATGCCAGAGACCACAGCGACGGCTGCCTTCTCCCTGCGGGATCCCACCCAGGGCCACCGGCAGGGCCGTCAGCGGGAGCAGTCGGCCTGCCGTGGTGTGTTTTGGGCCAGAACAGAGTGACGCGAGGCTCGGAAGGTTAACTCTAGTTGGAAGCCCTGCAGCCACGTCCTGAGGACTTTCCAGCACCTGCTCTGAGCTGTTCGTCGATTCTGTTCTGCCCAGAAGCCCCCACTAACCACTGCACACACCGAGGTCTCGAGGGACGCATCTGTGAGCTGAGCTCCGACGCTGGCCGGAGGGAGGTCATCAGCGAGGAGGAGGAGGAAGTTCGCCAAGAGGACGATGGCTTACGACACGAGGCCGCCAGGGCACGACGTGAGACCACCAGGGTACAGCACAAGACCACCAGGGAACGACACCAGGCCACCAGTGTACAACACGAGGTCACCAGGGTACGACACGAGGTCACCAGCGTATGACACGAGACCGCCAGGACACGACACGAGGTCACCAGGGTACAACACAAGACCACCAGGGTTTCCCAAGCTCGGCACGCTGATGTCCGACCGGGAACTCGCTGCTGCGGGGACTGTCAATCGAGCACATGGAGGGACGTTCGGTGGCCGCTCTGGCCGCCCTCCCCCCAGTCAGCCCATCTCCCAGTTCTGACAACCAAAAACATCCCTGGACTTTGCATATACCCTCTGGAGTGGGGGGGTCACCCCCAGCTGAGAACCACTGGACGTTCTGAACAAAAGAACCAGCTGCCACTGGGGATGTCCACGGATCGCAAACCTGAACGCTCCCCGGGGCCACGTCATGAACCACGATAAACAGAGCGCCTGGACGTGAGCGCAGGGACCCTCTGGCTGTGACCTGCAGGGGCCTGTCGGGACACCCATTTGCAGCTGAGATGGCGGGTGACCAGACGCTAATGGCTGTGGGTCCTCCCTGAGGGCTTCCTTTCCCACCGGACGGCGACCACACACCCTTGTTTGCCGAGGACGCCGCCAGCCCCTCTGCTTCTCACGGCCAGCGAGCCTCACACAGACCCAAATCCAAACCTACTCGGAAGGACTCGACTGCGCTGAACAGAACTCTGGGAGAAGCTGCACCGCGTCCGTGCGTATCTCAGCCTCTCCACCTCCAGGAGGCACAGAGGGACTCCCGGCCACTTCTCACCCTGCCCGGCCTGAGCAGTCACGGCATTCGCCGAGGTTGTCCCACACGCACGGCATCCCTCACCCACCATAAAACTAGAACCGCTGCAGCCCAGAGGTGACCCCAACTCCTCAGAGCCCCGGAGACAGCGCTGGCCGCAGGGGACACGCTCGTCCACTTGCCAAGGACAGCCGTGCCCCGGGCCAGCAGCGAGGACAGATCCACTCTGGCCGTTTCCTTCTCGGACGTTATGATTGGCTAGCCTAGCTTTGAGAAACTCAAATGCAAACCTGAATTTTTAAAAAATCACATCATAAATCACAAAATCTCTCTAAGGGACTTAAAAGAGAAGTGGGATTAATATTGAATCTATTTTTCCCTATGGAT